TTTCAAACCAGCAATAGCAGAGCATTAAACCAAACATGGGGCCCTATACAACTGTACATGTTGCCCACCCACGAATATATCCAGGATATATTTTCAAGTTAGAGTCAACAGCATTTGCTGAGCAATTGGATATGAGGTATGAGAGAAAGAGAACAGTCAAGGTGACACTAAGGGTTTTAGCCTGGAAGAATGATGTCGCATTTGAGAAGAAAGTAAGACAAAGATGACATGTAAGAACAGCATGGGAGCAAGGGCTAGAAATGATGCTAATTTTGGTGTATCTCTTAGACATCCAAGCTGAAATGCAAAGTAGGGAGCTGAATGAGAGAGTCTGGAATTCAGGGGAGATGGACAGGCTGGGAATATATGAACTAGAGAGTTGACAATCTACAGTATTAAAAGCCATAAGATTGCACAAGGTCACCAAGGAAATGAGAGAAAATAGAAAAGAGAAGAAATAAAGAGATGAGAGAGCCAGCCCTGATAGTCTAGTGGTTAAAGATTATCGGTGCTCCCGCTTCAGCAGTCCAGGCTTGGTTCCCGGTCATGAAACCACACCACCCGTCTGTCAGTTGCCATGCTGTGGCAGCGGCTCACATAGAAGAACTAGAAGGGCTTACAACTAGGATACACAACCATGCGCTGTGGCTTTGGGGAGGGGGAAAAAAAAAGAGAAAGATTGGCAACAGATGTTAGCTTAGCGCGAATCTTTCCCTGCAAAAAGAAAAAGGGATGAGAGGGAAGGACCAGAGAGACAAAACGGAAAAATAGGAGAGTACAGTGTTCTGAAGCCCAAGGAAGAATGTACTTCAAAGAAGAGGGAGAATCAGCTGGGTCAAATGCTGAGAGGGCAAGAAAAATGAAGACTGGAAATGATGACTGGATTTAACATTATAGAGGCCACTGGTAACTTTAACAAGAAGGACAAAGGTGAAGTGGTTTCAAGACAACAGAGGAGTGAAATTGGAGATGGCAAGTACAGACAATCCTTTCAATGAGTTTTACTTTAAAGCGAAAGGTTTATGGAGTCAAGAAAGGGTATTTCTAGGTTGGGAAGATTGCAGCATGTTTGTAAGTTGATGGAAAGATCCAGTAGAGACAGAAAATCTGATGATACATAGGGGAGAATTGCTGACGTACCACCGTTGAGAAGGCAAGAGGGGGTGAGATTTGGTGCACAAGTGGAGTGGGTGCTCTTTGCTATGAGAAGACAGCTCATCTGAAACAGGAGAGAAGGTGGAACAGATGAACACATGAGGAGGGTAGATGTGGTTGGAGGGAGGTTCTGCTGGGTCTATTCTTATTGTTTGTATCTTCTCAGTGAAACAGAAATCAAGATGATCAACTGAAAGTCAGGAGGGGAAGTATTGAAAATTTGAGGAGAAAAAAGTATGAAATAATTGTCTAGGAGAGTGAGAGAATGATGAATGTGGGAAATATAGTACAATTACATATTTGTCACATAGAAAGTAATACCGATGTTACCATCGTCACCAGCCTGTATAGCCCCCAAACTCCTCATTCATTCAACAAGTATTTCTTAATCACAGAATTTGGTTTTGGTGACATACTTAAAATATATTTTGAAATATCCCTGTTACACGACTTATTTAATAAAATGTTTTTGTATCATTTTAGTACTATTGATGTTCCAAACTCTTAATTCTAGTAAAGTTGAGCAAAGACACTGGTTTAATGTTACCTATTGAGCCATAGAAATGTGTTTGTATCTGCTATTTTAAGCCTATGGTGCCGCATAATACAGTTGATTTTATTTTCCAGATATCATCTCAAGTACAGGATAGTTCTCAGCATGCTGCTATTGGCAGGGATAATCTCATGATGTCTCAGGAAGGGTCAGGAAGGCAAGGGCCTCCTACTAACAACGCCCAGCCAGGTTCATTGCTCCGTCTCTTTGTCCACTTGATTGCCTCATTTTGCATCTAAAATAGAACAACTTCCAGGAGATAAAGCCAAGAAGAGGAAAAATCATGTTTGGTTTTACTCTCTACTGTCTGCTCTGGCACTCTGCACAGAGCAGGCACTCAAACTTATTAAATAAATGGCTAGCATTTTCTAGACATAGTAAAAGTGACAAGCAAAGGGCCAAAGAGGTGAAAATAACAGGGTAGTGGTAGCTGCCTCCCCAAATTTTTGATGCTACTGACAACCCCTGAACACCATGGTTATATGACAAATGACTAATTTATAACTAGAATCAGATATAATAGGGTGATATGTCCAGACTCTCCAGTCTAAATGCCTTCTCTTTGCTTGTTTTATGGAGTGTTCTGCCGATCTCAGGGCTCGAAGCCTCTCCACTAGCAGGCCAAATGAGTTGCTGTTATCGTCCAATTCTCATAAAGGCTTCATGTGATTTACGGACCTATTATAAACCATTGTAAACACCCAGTCATGGATGAACTAGAAACTGCTAACATGTAACATACACTAGTAGTTTCAGTGAGCAGAGCCAGTAGTCAATACACCTTGACCTGTTTTTCTTTTTGCTGCAATGAACACTAGGCACAGTTTTGTGACTGTCAGTCATATATCTAGTTAACTAACAGCTCTCATCTGCAAGTAAAACAGTGATCATTTCTTAAAGAATACTGTTTGGATTCATGTTTATGCATTCTCTTGAAAAGCCCACCACTCAATTTGAAAATGTTTTGATATTTTAGCTGACCCTCAATTTAAGAAAAAAGCCAATCAGATTTCGAGTGAAGGATTCCTTCCTTAACATACTTACTTACTGCAGAGTTCCTTTAAATAGTGAATTCCTTTAAAGCAGCAGACTTCAAGCTTCTGTGATTAGTTCTACTCATCTGAAGCTTCAAAAAATAGCCCGGGGATTTGTTTTTGCACCAGAGATGGCCACTTCTTCCAAAATGACCAGGGACTACAGGACAAAACGTGGTTATTAGTCTCTGATCTACTTTTCAGGCTTTGTCACAGACCGGCTTTAAAAAAACCCTTGTCCTTTAAAGCATTTGCTAGTTTTCAGGAAAAAATGAGAAGCTAAAGTAATTACCGTTAACTAGAGTTATATATTAGGTGTAACTTCCAGTTGACTGCATCATTGTCCTAACTAACATTAGCTATTATTTATTATTTTGTATGTGCTAGGCATTGTTCTAAGTACTTTATGAGGTACAGTAACTCTAAGTATTAAGACTTTTCTCATTTTACAACTGAAGAACTAGGCAGTTTACACAGCTACTGAGGGTAGAAAAACAAGTATTCTGAACTGCCATAGGTCAATAAAAAATTGATTCTAAGTATAAAAATGTGGCTCAGATATTTATCTTATAAAGTTAGGTATATGAATACACATACTCAAAACATCAGTCTTGAAAGCGTGCTGTATTTAATCTGCTTTCATTTGTTCATTTCCTACCAACTTCAGACCAGTTTTGCTGTGTTCTCATACACAGCATATACTTTCATGGCTTTGCATGTTGTTCCCTCTGCCTGGAATGTCCTTCCTCTTCTATTTATTAAAACTCTACTCATCCTTCAAAGCACAGATCAAAATTCAAGTCCTTTTTGAAGCCTTTTCCCTTTATTGGTGTACTTATCACTACCAAGTGGAAAAGCATACTGGAACAGGGCCCTATTTCAGGGAGATATTTACCAAGTAGACTAGAAAAGAGGAGAAAAAGGCATTCCAGGCCAAGGGAGAGAGTCAGAGATGGGAAATAGCATGTTGTTTACAGGAAACCTCAAATGGTTAAGTTGCAAAAGACTTTGCTGGATTGGTTGAAGAGCAGACTGGACAGGTAGGCAGAACCAGAGCAGGCTAAAGGGGTTAAATTTTTTCCTGTTAGTGATGGTAAGCCATGAAAGGATTTTAAGGGGAAGAAAAACATCTTAATAAATTGTACATTAGGAAAAAACACACCCGTGGAAACAGGAAGACGGGCCTGGAGATGACAGTAATCAGCATGACAGGTACCAGGTATGACTGCAATCCAGAACCCTGTGAAACAGGAGGCCCACAAGACAGAAGAGGTAGCAGCGGTACCCTTTGCCAGTCAAGTGAACATGGATGGTGGTGTGCTGGAGATCCTGACTAGGATGACTCAGGGCTCTGTTTTAGGTTACTGGGTACATTTTGGTAATGCTAATCTTTCAGGCAGGAATACTGTAGGAGGAGCAGGTCTGGGAGTGGAGAATGCAATGAGGTTTTTGGGACAGGATGACCTGAAGTGTTGATGGAACACTCAAGAGAATTCAGTTTGCAGTTGGAATAGAGGTGGAGAGCTCAGATCTAGAGATAAAAATGTTGGAGTCATCATCCTATGAATGCGATTTAAAACCATGGGATTAGATCAGGCTGATTAGGAAGCCTGAGAGGAAGGCCAAGTCTCGAAGTTTAGTATACCAATGTCTAAGAAGCAGGACAAGGAAGAAAAGCCAGTGAAAGACAAATAACTGAGAACAAGAGTCAGAGAGGTAGGAGGGCAAGTCACAGGAGTAACTTTAGTAAAAAGAGAAATTTTTTATAGTCACAGAGCCATGCGCTAAGACCAGAAACTAGGAAGTTCGCTTTGGTCAGAAGTGGTATGAGTGATCCCAGTGAAAGGAGTGGTGTGGCGGGGGCAGGAGGGTAAGGAAGAGTGCAGACTGAGAAGTAGAAGTGAGGAAGGCTGATCACTCTTTCAGAAATCATGACTTGTTTTTTGAAGACCCCAAAGTAACTAGAAGTAACAAGAGGGAGACAGAAGTTCCAAGGCAAAGCTTTTTTTTTTTGGTCCATTTGTGGTTTTTTTTAAACAGAAAGATTTAGGGCAATTTTAGATTCAGCAGGAGGAGTTAAGGAAAGGAAGTACTTCAGCATATAAGTCGCAGGATCACTGGTGGTTCAAGGTCTGAAACATGAGGGATGCTTAGATTCAGAACAATTCCCCAGGTTTCAGTTACCTTCATCTCTTTGTAGGAAGGTCCTTGTAGTACGTAATTCACGAATTTCAGAAACAAATGAACACATAAAAGTCTCAGTTCATGATATTTATTACTGGGGTTGTTTACAGAAAAGTCTTTTTTCTACTGTTAATTTAGGCATAAGAATAGGTGTTTGCTTCTTGTGACCTCCTTTTAGAACCTTTATTTTAAAAAATCAAAAAACAGTCTAGATATATCTGGGAAGATAGTAGAATCAACTTTTTAAAAAGTGAGGAGGGGTGGAGGGGGAGTTCTGTTTTATCCCTTAGTAACTACGACCAAACAAGGTGTAGAACTTGGCGGGGGTCTTGCCGCAGACGCACTTGGTTCCAGGCTGCAGCTCGCAGAGTGGTCTGAAGGGGATACAGAGGCTCTTAGCTCCCATGGACGGAGCACCAGGTTCAAGATCTTGATCCCTAAAATTAAAAACAAATAAGAATTCCATTCACTGATGCTGTGCACTTCTATACTTTTTCAATGCAATACCTCACGTGTTTTACCTGCTAATTGTACTTACCTGGCAGTGGTCTTTTTGATCCAGTCTTCACAGTCAATTTCCCCACAGAATGGAATCTGAGCAATCTAACAAGAAAAGGAAAAATATTCAGTATTTATAACTCCTTCTACTCTATAAAAGGAACATTTGAGTTCTCTATTAAACTTACAAGCAAAAAGGACAGGTCTCCCAGCCTTTTTCAGGCCATGGTACCTTTGCAAACCTGCTAGGACTTTGCTCAGAGGTGCAAGGGATGGGGAAGAATGTTTTTCCACTATCCCAAACCCACACACCATAGAACATCAGGACACAACGAGACCAGCTTTGCAATACACTTAAACGTCCAAATAAACTGGCTACAACACAGCGCCTGACGAGAAGGAACAAAAGGTGAGTAGACCTGCATGCAGACTCCCGTTCTACCTCTCTCATTTCCAATCTGTACTACTGCCTGCCCCACCTCGCTAAATGGTCATCAGGAGGATAGAGAGGAGGCGACAAAGAATTAACTGATTTTTAAACTTTTTTTAACAATAACAACTAACAATCAGGTAAACCTCACTTTATGCCACACTTTTTTTAACATGTTATAGGTAAGTGAATCATTTTTAAAGTCCAAGGATATTTGAAAGTCAAAAATCATTTTGTATTGGAAAAAACAACCTCAAATTTTCTTTCATACACCATATAGAATAATGGGCAGAAACAAGAGACCTGGAATTTCATCCTAATTTTGAAATTCACTGCCTATCTGAAAATCCACAGCTCTGCGTTTTCTATTGTAAAATGCGGATGTTGGACTAGACAAGAATTAAGATTTCTCTCAGTTGTGAATCCTAAATTTCTCATTGCATGTCTATTTCAAAATGAGGTTTGTCTGTAACAACAATTAGGTAATATTCCCAGAAAAAATTCCTGGAAACCAATGTTAGTATTGGGGAGATCAAAGGTGTGGATAATCCTCATACATTAGAAATGCTAGTTTGGAAGCAGCTAGAGTGTTATCCAGCTTTCTCATAAACTTCTGATTCCCAGCCACCCATTCTATGCTCAAACTGAGTCCCTCCTGTGAACTCTTCCTTGCACTTGAGATTTGGTTAAACACGTTGCAAAAGGCTCCTCTATAAGAAGTAAAGCGAGAGTAAATAGAGATTAGGAAGTTACAAAAACCGAGTAATTCATCAGGTGAATGTTATTGTAAGGTGAGGAAGGGTTAGTTATCTACATTGCTTATGTTCATTCAGCAGAATGTGTTAGCCTAATTCCCAAAACGGATAAACTGTTATTTTGATAATTTGCTTTAAGATAATAAAGAGATGATAAATTTCTAGGCAAATCCTGGGGGGGTGGGAGTGTGTGGGTAGAGGGAAGGTGGAAGAGATGATAATAATAAATATTTTGAAAAATTTTAATATACAAATTGTGCAATGAAAACTGAAGTAAAAACAAACCTAGAGATACGAGTTGAAATAACACAAAGTTACTTTCCTGTATCGAAACTTGGTAAATCATTAGCATTTATACAAACAAAAAGCAGGGAAAAAATGTACATTCATAAAAGTATTATGTAAAATTTATTACAAAGACAGAATAAGGGAAAAACTTTAATCATTGTCTCTAATTATGCAATGGTAAAAATATTAAGACAATTACAAAGAATGTCTTTGGGTAATACATTTAAATTTAGTTTCTTAGAAAATTTTATTTTTATTAACTCACTACACTTATAGCTATATCTTTTATAACTAACAATTTTTACAGCAGTCTTTTCTTTTTCTCTAAAAAAAAATTACAAAGCTTTCAGAAGGTATTTTTAAAATAGTAAATTTTTTTTTTTTTTCGGTGAGGAAGATCGGCCCTGAGCTAACATCTGCCAATCCTCCTCTTTTTTGCTGAGGAAGACTGGCCCTGGGCTAACATCCATGCCCATCTTCCTCCACTTTATATGGGATACCGCCACAACATGGCCTGACAAGCGGTGCGTCAGTGTGTGCCCGGGATCCTAACCAGCAAACCCCGGGCCGCCACAGCGGAGCACGCACACTTAACCGCTTGTGCCACAGGGCCGGCCCCATAAAAATAGAAATTTTTATAATTTTAAATTTTAAACAGTATAGCACGTGAAAAAAATTCAACTAAAGTTGTTATTAAGTGTATTTGGACTCATAAATGTTAATTTTATAAAAAATGTTAATTTTGTAAAGAATGTCTTAATTCTTTCTAGCTGCAAAGTAAAGTTCAGATTATTAAGACCTGAAATTTCTGATTATTTATGCATGTAATCCATTAATATGAAAGGACAGTATGCATTTTTAGAATTAATTTATTCAGCCATGGGAAAGGTTTTTAACTTTTCATTTTTTATTATTTCTATATCTGTTTTAAAAAGACAATCTTTTGCAATATATAATATCTCGAATTCTGTAGGAGAAAATGTTGATGAGAAATATCAATACTCAAAAACCATAATGATTAACAAATTAGCAATGTATGTCAGCAGTAAAAAATATACATTATATATAAATAACATTTATTTTTCATTTAATTAAGATCATCCTCTTTGAAAAATTTACTAAAATCAAGTCATATAAATAAGATATAAAAAAAAATTTTATTTATAGCAACAAGGAAGAGTAAAAAAATCAAACTTTCACCTACATTCAAGTTCCAAAGAGCCTTTCCTCCTTCTCCTCTCCTAGTAAATACAATTTTATTTACAAGAGCCTCAAAGGTTACTTGATGGTCAGTCAACACATCTAAGCTGACCAACATGAGGTGAGATGGGGGATGGAACTAACTACTGAATACAAGAAACAAAATTTGCTTTGGTCTCTATGTGCTCTCTGGGCAAACAACTAAAATACTATATTCTGCTTTGGAATAGATGTTGAAATCTCCCCAGTACCTCATCTAATATTAGAACAAACAATAAGATTCCACTAGTATCTGCTGAGATTCATTTTTTTGAAAGCAATGGATTAACTAATATTTACTCTATTGATTTATTAACTCTTATGCAATGTCTTTAATAGACTGTAGTGCAAAAGTGACGACCATATTTCTATAATAAAGGAAATTTTTAAATTCAATAGTTAAGGGAACAAAAATTAAATAATCATAAATAAATTACAGTGAAAGGAAAAATATACACTGCATCAGATGGCTATCTATTCTCTTGCCTTCTATTAGAAGTACATAGTTTGAGTCAAGTGACAAATTATGGAAAGCAGAAAGGTGGAAGATTACAAAAGCAATAAACCAAGAATAATAAAAGGCTAAACACTGAAGAATTATGGATCTGAAAGGGATTTTGAGATTATCTATTTTGTACTCATTTTACAGATTAGTAAACTGAGAGCTAGAGAGATTACCATTTTCCCAGCTCATGCAATAAGAGATATATTAAGAGGTTATGACCATAACCAATTAAAACTTTGCCTTATACTCTCAGCATGAATTAAAAAAAAAAAAAGATACAGAGAAAAGTACATTAAACGGAAGAAAGATCTAAATTCTAGTATCAGGTCTGCTTCTCTCTAGCTTGGGGTAATTCATTTCGACTCTGGCCCATGGTTTTCTCATTTAGAACCTGGGGACACAAGACTGGTTATATAATCAAACATGCATACCAGAATACTAAAGTTCATAAGTGATTCATTCCAGTGATTAATAATTTTGCAAATCAGGACCTCTTTATCAAAATTAAAAGTTTCAGCTAGGAACATTTGTATACGCACAACACATAGCTGACAAAGTCTTAAAGAGCCATTAACCACCTAATCAGAAAAACCTATGCAGTTTTAAGGAGCCAGAAGTACCCACTCATTCTGAAAAACAGTTTAGACATGAGCAATATTTTTCTCCTTATTATTCAGAAAGTTCAACCAACTAAGATTTGGGTTAAGTATATATGGTTAGAGAATTGAAAGAAATGGACTTTTAACCTTATTTTAGGAATCTGCACATTACATTTCTAAAACTAGAACAATGCTTTAGGAACTTACACCAAGCTAAAAAAAAATGAAAATTCTCAATAATGAAAACACTAGGGGTCATACAGAATGAATGTTGTTTTGCCAGCTTATCAAGCATGAGAAAAAGCTTTTACATAATTAGTTCACAGCATTATCCAACAGTGATATAATGTTGTAATGCTTAAGGCAAGCCAGTGGAAAACAAAGTACATAATGCTGAGTCATATATAATCCTTTTGTGCGACTGGCCTTGAAAAAGGGATTAATACAGGCATAAGTTCAATGAGTCTTTAATGCCATTTACTGAAATATTTTTATATTCAAAACTTTTCAGAAGTCTCTTACCTTTCCAGAATCTAACACCTTCTGAAAGTCTTCCATTGTATTAGCCACAACCATATGAGTCTTAAGGTCTTCAGAAGCCCTATCAAAAAATAATTAGAAAAGAATATGTATCTTTTCTTACTAATATGACAAACTTTTAAAAAAACATAAGCACAATTTGATTAAAAAACCATAACCTGGAAGTGAGAAGACCTCAATTTGAATCTCAGCTTTGTCACTAGCAGCAACATTCAGTACGTCTGAGTTAACTCCTCATGCATTACCGTGAACATTAAACGAATGGGGAATTTGCCAAGCACACACACAGGTAATAATTACTTTTTCTACTGCCATTGAATCTCTATTCACCAACATTCTATTCTTGGCCATACCACTTACTACCTATGAGAGTCTGGGTTATTTTTTAAACCTCTCTGGTCTTAGTTTTCCCTTCTACGAAATTGGAAAAATACTTAAGTAAGTCTAACTACCATATAGGATTGTTGTGAGAATCAAACACAAAGGCATGAAAATGTTTTGAAAATAAAAAACACAAATATATGTTATTCAAGCTATTTTCACATACCATGTAATTCTTCTGTAAGAACCTCAGGTTTTAGAAATGGAAATAAATATTATTCTCTTCCAAATTCAAAGTCACACATTACAGGAGGACCACTCGTGGGTGCTGACCAAGGAAGAGAAGGCATATTTTTCCTTTCTGAATCTGACGGCTAAGACCATGTAAACTCTGTGCCAGCAACTGCTAGCTGTCCACCAAATCTGTTCCCTCTTCTTCTGACCTTTTTGTAGTGAGATGAGCCCATGTGACTAAGTTATAGCCAATGAGATCCAGAGAAAGGAATATGCCACTTACCAGGCTTACACCTTAAGGTGGAAAAAAATTGCACCTTTATGCAAGTTATATTAACAAATTTACTGAATAAAAATGTCAACACAAAAACTGCTTTTTAGCCACTAAAGCAGTGGTTTTCTAATCACAGGTGAGCATCTGAATCACACAGACAGCATTTTAACACTACAAACAACCAGAACCTATCTTAAAACTAATGAACCAGAACCTCCAGGAGTGCGGCTCAGGCATGTTTCTGTTCCCAAAGCTCCCAAGTGACTCTGAAGAGAACTCCTGGAAAAACCCACTGCACCAAATGCGCTATTTGAATGGCAGCAAGAAGGACAGGCAGCTTTCTAATCTTTCGTCTCTGACAATATTACCTGTTCTGAGTTCAGATGAACTTCAAATGCATTACCCCTGAAGTAACCCTTTAAGAGATTTATTATGATACCCATGTTAGGGCAAGCAAGGCAAGAGAAGCAAAATCACTTGCCTAAAAACACATAAGTAAGGGGGCCGGCCCAGTGGCACACGCGGTCAGGTGCACGCGCTCCGCTGTGGCAGCCCGTGGTTCACCGGTTCAGATCCCGGGCACGCACCGACACACTGCTTGGCAAGCCATGCTGTGGCAGTGTCCCATATAAAGTAGAGGAGGATTGGCATGGATGTTAGCCCAGGGCCAGTCTTCCTCAGCAAAAAAAAAGAGGAGGATTGGCAGATGTTAGCACAGGGCTGGTCTCACAAAAAAAAAAAAAACACATAAGTAAGCACTAAAGCCAAGGCTAAAATTAGTTCACCCCTTAAATGGAAGATTTATTGAGGCCTAATATGAGTTAGGCACAAGGTATCGGAAGATAAATGAATAAATAAGATGCAGGCACTACCCTCCCCGAAATTAGGCTTCTTTCCCCAGTGGCAGTGGGCCTTCCTCTCTGCTTCAGGTGCGTCAGGTGCGCTGGAAAAAAAATAAGGTGCCACACATATGCCACCGATCTTCTAGCACCTCTGTCTTGAGATCTGTGATTCTAAAAGACCACTCCCCAAAGGTCAGGGCAGCCCCGAGGCCTCCCCTCACCCTCACCCCCAAACCCAATCCAGAGGTTCTTAGCCTTGGCTGCATATCATAATAACCTGGGGGGCTTTTAATACTGTAGTTGCCAGGCCCACTCTAGACCAATTAAATTAACATCTCTGGGAGGGCCTAGGCACTGGTATTTTTTTTAAAGCTTCCCAGGTGCCGCTAATGTGTATCCAGCAGGTGAGAATCAATGCCTTCATCCTTCAAATTTATATGTCATAAAAGCCTGGATCTAAAATTAACCCAAATTAGTCCATGGGACAGACAGTCCATCACTGCATACCTAGTAGGGAGCAGAAAGCACTTAGAAAAATAATCATAATACAAGTCAAAAACACAAAGAGAAAGGCGAATTAAAAACCATGGGAGGGCCGGCTCCGTGGCTTAGCGGTTAAGTGCGCGCGCTCTGATGCTGGCGGCCCGGGTTCGGATCCCGGGAGCGCCCCGAGGCACCACTTCTCCGTCCAACGTGAGGCCGAGTCCCACGTACAGCAACTAGAAGGATGTGAACCTATGACATACAACTATCTACTGGGGCTTTGGGGGGAAAAAAATGAATAAATAAAATCTTTAAAAAAAAAAAAAAAAAAAAAAAAAAAAAAAAAAAAAAAAAAAAAAAAAAAAAAAAAAAAACCATGGGAGTTCAGAGGGAAAGATTACTTTCTGTTGAGGTGATCAAAGAATTCCTCAGTACAGATCTCAAACTTTGAGTAGATTTGAAGATGAGAGACATAAACAATTCAAAGGAACTAACTTTGTAAAGAGGTTAACATGGATGTCTTCCAGAATAGCTTGAAGTTTAGTCTCAGCCTCATTTTCAGCAACTGTTAGCTTTTCTCCAGTATCCCGTCTGACAGCTACAAACTGACAGCTCTTCATATCACGTGGCCCAACTTCAAGTCTAATTGGAACTCCCTAGAAAACAAAAAAGGCAGTTAAAATGATACATGCATATCTCCAATTGAATATATTTATGCACAGCTTTATCTAATGTAAATCATAAAAATCCAAAAAACAAAGGCATGAGCAAACAATACAAAAAGCAGGCAACATTCCTGAGATACTACAGAAACCTATTCCAATAAGAAGGCATAAACCAAAGAAAAAAATGCACTGCCCGAGTGGTTCTAAAAAAAGTACTTAACGGAGAATCATGAGGGTAGCTGTCTAGATCAGCGTTCCGAACTTTTCTCATATGATTAATAGCACACATAGAAAATTACATATGTACGTCCCATGGGAATAAACAGAGAAGGCTTCTTGAAGCTAAAGCCATCTCAAGCCACTGATCAGTACCTTGGCACAGCCTTGACTCATGCATGGCACAATGGTGAGCTTTGGTTGGGAAGCCCTAGCTCTGGATACTCTAGCATGCATCAGAATCACTGAAGGGCTTATTAAAGCACAGATCACTGGGCTCCACTCCCCGAGTTTCTTTACAGTAGGTCTAGGGATGGGGCCTGAGAATTTGCATTTCTAACAAGTTCTCAAATGATGCTGAGACTGCTGGTCCTGGGACTGCACTCTGAGAACCACTCTCCTATACCCTGGGTTTTTACAAAGCAGCTTAAGGACTACATGCAAGTATAAGCTGGTGAATGTTCAACCCCAGTGAATGCATATACTCAGTCTGCTCTGTGAGGGTACTAAGGCTTACAGACACCTCATTTTTTGGAGCTGGAACCTTATCTGATAAACAGTAGGTTTTTCACAATTTTTTTGACTGAACGATCCTCTAAAACTAATTTAAGGTTTTCAAATTTAAGTTAGGAGTTTCCACACACAGTTTAGCTGATTGGCGGTTCCACAAATCAAAGTCACAGGAAAAATTTTAAATGTTACTCTAGAAAAAGTGACTTACCCTTAGAGAAGACTTATTTTATAACATAATGAGCACTATGGAACAAGTTGTTGTATGTTAAATATTACATTATTTTATTGTTTTCCTTTATTTGTCTAATGTATGCAAATATAAAAAAGTGCTAAGTGCAATGAGATTTAAAAGACGAATAAGAAATAGATCCTGTCTTCAAGAGCTTTATGTTTTGCAGGGTAAATAAGGCATGCATACAAATAATAAAAATCAGTACAGAAAATCAGAAGTGGGAGACCATGGGCTGGCCCCGTGGCTTAGCGGTTAAGTGCGTGCGCTCTGCTGCTGGCGGCCCGGGTTCGGATCCCGGGCGCGCACCGACACACCGCTTCTCTGGCCATGCTGAGGCCGCGTCCCACATACAGCAACTAGAAGAATGTGCAGCTATGACATACAACTATCTACTGGGGCTTTGG